GAAGCAACAATGAAATTCAAAACATATTTAAATGACTGGCATCATGAGAGTTGCTAGACGGTAGTGGTTAACATATAGAGAGAATGGCAGATAACTGAGAGACCAAAACTGCATACACAAAAAAGTTCAATGAGAGTAAGCCCCAAGGCAGACCAAGAAGAATGTGGAATGATAACAGACAGGCAGATCTACAAACTTTTGGTGTCACTAACTGAAAAAAAGAAGGACAATCACAGGGATGAGGGGAGCTGGGTGATATCTGCAGCAAAGGGAAAGCTGAAGAAATTGCAATAGGTCCTATTCAGTCCCAAGATAGCCCACCCAAGCATTGGCAAATTCCCGGCCCATGTATTTTTTTTTTAAACTTCAAGTTGTTTTCAGTATCTTCTGTTCACCTTCATGCTGGTCAACTTCTCTTCTTTTTATTTTTTTTTATTTTAGGAATCATTGTCTTCCTTTTACTGTTATTTCTGTTATTTATTAACCACTGCAGCATTTAATATGGCCAAAGTCTTTTAGTTTTAGTGACAATGTTATTTCAGTTTTCTTCAATTTCCAGATCTTGCAGAAATTCAGTATTTTTTTTTTCTATGTGATCCAAGCTCTTTTAATAATTGTTCTTTAAAATTTAAGTTGACTAACTGTTAACAAGAAATACATTTAACATACGAATTAACTCCTCATAACACAACAATGTCAGTATTGCATGCAATACAACTATTTTATTAATTAGATGACCATGAGACACATAAATAATAATAGAAAATTACAACATTTATCTTTGGAATCTGAATTTTGAGAGTGGAAAAATGTCAAAATCCATGGTTGTCTTTAATCCTACAGCACAGAGGCAGGAATTCACTTGTATTTGATGAAAATTATAAACATAACTAAGTTAGAAAAACAAAACAGAATAAATGCACAATTTTTCTATAACATAAAAATGAGAGACAAATCTTACAGAAACAATGTATTGCACATAAGGAAACAAACTGGTAGTAACATTAACAGCTAGCAGGATAATTTCCTTTTTCATACTGAGGAAATGCACAAACAAAAGGAACAAAATTGTCATCATAACCAAAACAAACCAGCAACAGTTATTTAAATCTATAGCAATTCTCGAGCTGTTAAAAATAGAGGCAAAGAAACCATCATAGCCCAACACTAATAAACATTAACTCAATGCTGACAATAATGGTTTGGTAAACTGTTAAGTTCAGTCTGCTCTTCATACCCCATTTAAAAAACAAAATCAAATCAACTTTCTCATCTATGTTATCTAGTTTGGGAGCATAAAGTTCATGTCTGAACTTGTCATGTTTGTATTTTTGGTCATTTTTGAGATTTAAATGCAGTTTTCGACCACACACACACAAAACTTTCAACAAAATAACAAACAGAATATATGCAATTACAGAATACTGACGTTAATTGCAAAATCCAACATGGCCAGTATAAAGATGCACTACACTATTCAAAAATTATGGCTGGCAAACTTAAGACTGTATTTTTAACAAAATAACTAGTTCATTAACAGATAATATGAATCAAATTTTGCAATAAATTTAATTTGCAACAGTTAAAAAGTAACAAATTAATTAGCTGTAAAGTTCACTCATTAAGACAACAAGATAAATGTTTAAGTAAAACACTAACTTACTAGCCACCATGGCATAGAGGCTAGAGGCTCACTTGTGGATCGGAAGGTCGTGGGTTTAGGTCCCTTGGCTCCCAGGTTAACCCAGCCTTGAGTGGGTACCAGGTGCAGTCCTGTCAAGTAAACACAACTGGCATGATGCTCATTGCATCACCCACCGTGTGTCTCGATTGGTCTATAAAAAACAAGACTAGTCCTAATACCTGAAGGTGTGGAAAAGGGTCCTAACTTACTTTACATACTATCTAAACATTCCCTACAATTTTATTAAAATGTATACAAGTGTACGATTTAGCACATATTTCACTCCCTGTACTGTTTTCCTATATGTAAATTTCCACAAGTTCAAGACAAAAATGTTGATTAATTAATTAAATGCTTTTGTTCCTCATGATTGTCAATTCACCTTACATAAAGATTAGTCTACAATAAAGTGACCTGTACAGTGCAGTGTGTGCAGATCCAAACCAAAATAAAACACAGCACCAGAGGGTGCTTTCACATTGTATAAATGGACACAGCAAGATTTAAAAAAATGAAAAACAATATATATATGCTGACTTTTCTGGCTATATTATATAAGCAGACTGGTTAACTCATTACTGCCAAGAGTCTAATATTTAGGCAAAGTCCGGTAAAGGATCCCTTTATCCTTAAGGATCCTTTAGGCATATTGGGTATATGGCGTTAACCCATTTTTGTATAGCCAATTGCCAGTTGGTGTTTAATGGGTAAGTAAAGGACCCCTTTCATGCCAGTGACATACAATCTTTTTTCTTCTTCTCCACTTCCTCTTTTACTGCTTAGGGTGTCAAGGTAGGTATAAGACTGCGTCTTGCTCTTCTGGCCGCCCCGTCCACAGACGCATCATGCTGTTGTAGAGTTTCCTGATGTTATCTTACCATTTTGTTCTACCTTGTGCTTTATTTGATTTGATGTCTTTTTATGTAATTTAGAATTGGCTGTGCTGACTTTTTCTCTTATGACCTCATTTCTGATTTCATCTTTTTGAACACTCCTGCAGCTCTTCTCAGACATCTAATTTCCATGGTTACTAATTATTCTTTATGGTTTCTTGTCAGTGACCATGTCTGGTATAAGTAGCATAGAGTGGGAATGAATATACTCTGTATGCCTACCATCTTTACCTCCCAGTACATTAACTGATACCCATCTTTACCTGCAGCCTAGGTCAACTTTCCAACAAATACAAAAATCAGACGAAGTAGATTTAAAACCTAAGATCTTTGGGCAGGCAGGCGAGCATCTAACCACTATGTTATAGTGGCTTCTCACTTGATGGCCAATGTTATGCCAGCTGTTTTTTACATCCTGGAACATCCCCCTATTATCACTTTTAGGCTGGGTTAAACTGGCAGCTCAATTCATACTAAAAGTCTACCTTGATGGAGATGGGTCCATAGTAGAAAAGTGAAGACACTTACCTGTCAGTCAGGAGGTTCTGGGTTCAATTCTGCATCAAATATGATATTTTTATTGCATCCCAGGTCAACCCAGCCTGAAATGGGTACCCGGTAATGCCCTGATAAGTGAAAACCGGCCAGTGAGATGTTGACGAAACCACGCAGCAAATGCTGACGTCTATAAAATACAAGTTTAGCATCACAGGCCTGTGCTCCCCTGGGTGCTTTACTCTATCTGATGGAGACTGGACTCATGACAAACAAGTTAGCCAGTGCACTGCTTGCCTCCCACAATATTTATGACTTTGGCACAAATACATCAAGCGTAACAGGTAACCCAAAATGCAAGTAATCAATATGTATTTAAACATTACAAAGGGGAATGATGGTTATACATTCTTTAAAACGATTTTTTTTAATATGATGAAAAATCAACTGCCATTTAAAATTTGAGCAATTTCTGTTTTCACTTAGCCGAGCTGGCCATAAACATAATGTTTGCTGTAAATAATGCATCCATTAATTTTTATTAATTTAGAGAGAATCTATCAAGTTGACACACTATTCATAAATCTATGGCAAGTACTTTTCATTCTGTTTTACACTATATATTCTGAAAGTAATAGTCAAGACAAATTTCATATATTTTTCAAGTAGTTAAAAAAAAAAAAATTATGATGTTTTCTGTCAAAAGAACTGCTAAATTTGGCCAAATGTATTAAAATTTCCAGTTGTAGACATGTAACATGCTCTAATAAACTTTATAAATAAAAACTGAGCCTGTTTCCGCAGATACCATTGTCATATGATGGTTGCTTATTTGGTTTGGAAAAACAACCAATATAATTTGCCAGTTATTCTTCTTCTTAATTCTTTTTTAAAATCTGTCTACGCTTTTCATAATTCTTCTTTTAAACCTTATATCTGCAATTTCCAGATAATTTTACTAGCTATTATGTGTCAAGTTAAATACTGATTAATTTTAATTAGAATAATTCTGACTTGAAAGAAAAGTTAGTAATGAACAACGTATTGTCATTAAGGAAACCTGTGAAACATTCTAAGTTAGGTAATTTACACAATTGTCCATAAAAGCTTTTTAGTAACATACATTTAATCAATATGTTATATAACAAGGGAAAAAAACAATTAATGTAATATGCGTAATCGTGTGAATTACATAATCTCTTATAAAGTCAAAATCTGGATTGATCCGACATTTGAAAAAAAATACTTGGCTATCCTCCGAATAACGGTCCTAAATTATCAAGCCAGAAAATATACCCTAACAGGGTCTCAGTCAGGTGTCAACTGCATACTTCCCGGGACTATAACGCCAGCGCCGAATTGTGAACTTTCAGCGACTTCCGCCACCGCCGAGAGTATCCCCCACGCATCGTGAGTGCTGTGGATTGGGGCTAAACTAGATGGCTAGGACTCATGAGCAAATAAAATGAAGGAAGCTGCAGGAGATGCGGTAGCTCCTGCTCATAAATCCCAGCCATCTAGTTTAGCCCCAATCCACGCCGCGTGATACTTTCGGGGGATACTCTCGGCGGTGGCGGAAGTCGCAGGAAGTCCGCAATTTAAGGCGACGGAAGTGCCCAATTGACACGTGACTGAGGCCCTGTTAGGGTATATTTTCCGGCTCGATAATTTAGGACCGTTATTCGGAGGATAGCTAAAAACTTTATTAAAAAACCTTATGGAAAAAAGTACAAACCTGAATTAATACGAAAATATCTGCAGTGGCCGGATTTAATTTATTATATGGGGCCATTTTTCTTTATGCACATAAGTTCATCTTATCTTTAACCAACAACTCAGGGACTGTATGGGGTGTTTAGAATTAGTCACATTTATTAGTATTTCTGGGCCACCTAAAAAAAAAAGTCACTGTATGCGGGCTAGGATATTCAGTCTGTTTTTGCACTGTTGACAATACGATTGACAGCTTCATTATGTGCCAGCTCTCCAGCCAAATCACGAGCTGAAAATAAAAATGAAAACAAACTTTCTTGAAACTATTTGCAGACATCTAAAAACTGAATTATCCATCTCCATTGGCAAATATACAAACATGACAGCATCAGTGAGTTAATTATATAAGTAGCATACTCACTTTAAAAAAAAAAACCCACATACAAATATCTGTAACTATTGGCTGGTTATCAAGCTCCCATATAGCAGGACAATACATGCTGCACCCACAAAATAGTAGCTTATAACAAGGGAACAGATTCTTCTTCTTCTCCTCCACCATTTACCATCATCATTTGCCAATACACTGTAAATTTGTAAACAGCTTGTATCCAAGAGTTTGTGCACAAAGAGTGAACTTACATCTGAATTCTATAGGAGGAAGATCACACCAGTACATATGGGTACCAGGAAGAAGTACAGGCGGCTAGTATATTATTGACCATATAACCCATCAGTTCTAAATTATACTATACAAGTACTGGACTAGCATCATATACACAAAATTTCTTGTGTGGCTCCATATTGTGTGGAAAGGGGGGGGGGGGTGGGACAAGGACAGAGCCACTGCCTCCCCAACAAGCATGCCATAAGAGTCTATTGATTGGGGGCTTTCTTTGAAGTCAGCCTGTATCGGCCTAAGAGGCAAGGAACCAACAGTCTACAAATAAATATGCCAGATCTGTTAAACAGATGTGCATGCAACACTACTTGAGTCTAGAGGTGGATGAACAACTAGAAATTCCCATCAGAGTATGCAGCCAACCAATGTGGAGAAAAAAGAAGAAGAAGAAGAGAGAAACACACACACAAAAGGTGTTTAAAAAAAATGATGTTTATTGTTTCAATTTTTGGAAGATGTTCAGGTAGCCAGATTGAAGGGACAGCCAACTGGTCTATTAAAATGTTTAGCACAATATGTCTGGGGTGACAGTGGTGTGAAAAGAGTCCTTTACTTATACTATCTTTGACATATAAATACACTGTGTGGGCTCTGGGAACATATTGTGGGGGGTGGGGTGGGAGGGTGGGGGAGACTCACTACACCCCTAAGTAGCATGTTCTAAAAGTCAACTAATTAGGGTTTTTTTTTGTTACCTTCCGAGTTGGAATGCATCTGCCATAGAGGCCAGGAGCCTGAAGTCTACAAATAAATAAGCCAGATCTGTAAAATGGATGTGCATGCAAAATTCAAGTTCTGGAACAAGACCAAAGTCCAGATGTGGTGAACAACTAGAACTTTTACCAGAGTTTGCTAAAGGAAGAAGAAGAAGAAGAAGAACAGGCTGCTAGATTCAAAGCTCGAATTCTTTTGGGAGCAAGCAATCTACTATAGTCTTTGGAAACCCCATCCATGGTTTGTTCCATCTGTGTGTGCATTTTATTCACTTCGTCTGAACTGTTACTGTCTTTGCTTTTGTTCCAAAGTATTTGTGAAAAGTTTACAACCTCAAAGTAGCAAGTGCTTGGAACTGAAAGTGTTATTGTATGTCCTACTAGAGCAGCTGGGAGGGGTGATCTTCCTTGGGGAAGTAGTCAAGGGGAGGGAAGGGGTGGGGGCACAGGCAGACTTTTAATCAGGTTGTAACTGGTATTCTTAGCATGTCAACTGTTTACTGGTTAATGAAGAAGGGAAAGGAGCACGTGTAGGAATGTCCTGTGTGCAGTGATGTCAGTTCTTGATTCAAACAGGACATCTCAGAGTCATGATATAAGTTTGCAATGCCCAAGCCACAATGGTTAAAAAAAAATGAATAAACACAAGCTGTAACTCTAAAGTTCAATGACAGGAAAGGCATGCATAGATAAAAGAATGTTTTCCCGCTGTGCCCTCATTAATTAAAAGTGAATGTTTCAACCAAAATCTATAAACAAAGAATGAATAAATAAACTATATAACCATAAAAGTGGAAAACTACAATAACAAATAGGTAATCCGCATGTTTTTAAAAGGAAAAAAAAAGCGAAAGATGGGGAAATAAAACAGGGGGGGGGGGGGGGGTGGGGGGGTGGGATTAATGAAGGTTCTTCTTCTTTCTTCTTCTTCACTTCCTCTTTTACCGCTGTGGGTGTCGAGGGAGATATAAGGTTCTGTTTCTAGCTCTTCTGGCTGCCTCGACCATAGGCACATTGTGCTGTTGTAGAGTTTCTCTGATGTTATCCTTCCATCTTGTTCTTGGTCTACCCAGTGCTCTACGTCCTTCTTCTCTTTCCATGTATGCTTTGTATGGTTACTGAATTAAAAATGGACAAAGACTGGTGGCTGTGATTGAGATCTGCACTGAAGCCATTTTGTTTCTTTAAGACTGACCTTGACTCCCACTGGCCTAAAATGGGTACCATGTAACGTCCAGAGAAGGAAAGTTAGCTGACATGATGATGCTGACCACATCACACAATTAGTGCTGATTAGTCTCAAATAATATGAGTCTAGCACCTTCTGCCAGACGGGCTAAAGGCATGAAAAGGAACCCTTGACTCTGCTTACTTCTAAATATTGTTGCTCGAAGGCAAAGTTAACTTTTTGCTTTAACAGATGTCTTGAGTCTTCTTCGTATTCACCAGCTGTAAACAAGTGGTTCTGGTTGTTCGTCCACTTCTGGACTTTGGTCATGTTCCAGAACTTGAGTTTTGCACACACATCTATTTTACAGATCTGGCACTTCTGTATGCAGCCTGTATTTCCCTCACCTCTCAGACAATTGCACTCCGACTGAGAAGGAAAAGCCCCTAAGTGCCTCCGACAACATGCTTGTTATGGGAGCAGTGGGTTTATCCCCCTCAGTCACCATGGGCCTCGGAACCCAAACAGGGAATTTCCTGAGTGACAAATAGAATTTTTTTTTTTTTTAAATATACAAATGAAGACTGCACGCTAATTTTATCAAAGTAAATTCTGGGGGAAACAAATATTTTTAATGAAGTAGTGTCATCAACCAGAAGTCGCTCTCTTCACGGCACCCCTAAAAGTATCCCTTTCCCTAGCCAACTCTCCAGCCCCACGTGCTTTCAAAGGATCTTCAATGTCTTGTATCCATCTCTGTGGTGGTCGACACCTGCCTTGCCTTCCACAAACTGCACCTTCCATCACCGTCTTTTCCAAGCCACCATGACGCTTGATGTGTGGAGAAAATACTTCAACTTTCGGGACAGGATGCTGTTTGTAGTGCACTAAGTTATAAACATACTCATGGTCTATTAATAAGAGTATGCACCATAAATTATATTTTTTTTTGAAAGTTTCAATTTAAAAATGGATGTGCAGTTACCCAAATACCTCAATGCTGGAAAAAGAAAAACTCCAAACAAAGCTGTGCAATGGTGTGAAGCATCACGGGTAATTTAGGGTCGCAAACCAGGGAAGGTAAAACCAGACTTAGCAACACTGCATTAAGCAGTATATTTTAGATCCCCCATCTATTACATCCAATTCTTTCACTTCTATTCCTTCAAGATATTACATTAATTCACTCAATGTAAGGTCAGAGTTGTCATGGCTATGTGGTTAAACCATTTGCCTTACATTCTGAAAGTTGTGGATTCATTTCACAAACTGCATCGCTCGGTTGATAAGTACAATTCTTCTAGGGATCGTCACTTCAGTTCAGTGTCAAAATAAGCACAAAGTGGTCTGCTGTCAAATCGGCACATGCAGGTGAATTCAACAGGGCATTTTGGATGTAAAATTCACATGGACAACCCCAAGGCCACAGATGCAAACTGAATCCATTTGCAGTTGGATCAATTTGGGAGCCAAAAATCAATTAAAAAATAAATATCTGCTTTGATTATAAAAAAATGACTACCAGGTAAGCACAGAGCAATGCTAACCACCACACAACAATTCCAACATGGTGGACGAGAGAGAGAGAGAGAGAGAGAGAGAGAGAGTTAAGAACCTGGAAGTGCTGACAGACTACCAATAAAAACAGCCAGTAGCTAAGCTTATGATGAATCTTATGGTTGTGGATGGATATGATCACCTGTGCTACCCAGCAAACAACACATTTGCATATAAGATTGCAAAAGGTCTGCAAACACATTCAGCTATTGCCAGATTTATGGTTCAGACAACCTACACATGAGATATTGACTTGAGCTACCATAAAATACCTCTAATGAAGTCGCACAGAAGAGAACAGTGTATTACAGGCTTCAGCTGAGCTAGATATAGATACACATCTCTATCTTCCTCTCTCTCTCTCTCACACATACACACACATTAGAACAAACACATTCATCCACACCTCTTTCACAGTTAAAGCTTGAAACGCTGTTTTAATGGTCTCAACGACAACAGGTGTGTCTGACTCATGAATATTTTTGACTGAAAAACTGTTATACTTAATGACAATGATATTTATATTTGTTATGATTAATGCCAACAGTGTGTTTAAGAATTGCACTTTTCTAATCAGGAAAAGTAATTATCTTACAAATAAACAGCTCTTATTTTATTATATAAAACAACTGAAGAACATTTATTAAATAAATATAGCACTGTTATTTTTTAATATCAGGAAGGAAAGCGGGGTCAAGGGTTGCTCTATAAAAAATAATAAATGTAAATAATTAAAGCCAATAGTTTATTTCATGTTTGTATTGGGGGGGGGGGGGGGGGGGGGGGAGGGAGGAGGGTGTGCACCTCCATGGCTGTGTGGTTTCCCCCATGCTCTGAAGGTCACAGGTTCATTTCACAGACTGTCACTGAATACACAAGTGTAATTTTTTACACAGATCCAAGGGGAACATATTTCAGCTACAAATTTCATGATCTTTGGGATGTCCTCAGCAGGTGACAAGCCGTTCCGTGGAGAGAGAGAGAGAGAACGAACGAACGAACGAACGAACGAACTTTATTTTCAAAGGGTTACAAATTAGGCACGCAGGCCTGTCTTACATTCGGCCCTTCCAAACTTCCATCTTTCACACAGCAGTTATATTCATGAAGCATGTTATATACATGTAATAATATGCATATTATATATCAAAAAACAAAAGCATGGCTGG